TCATACTCCCAGTGCAGCACTACATATTCAGGTAGGTGAAGCCACTTGGTCCCCTGCTGCACTCTGGTTCCTCCCATCGACCTATACATCCTTACAGGACACAATGGCTGCAAAAGAGACAAAGTGCAGTGTGGGACCAGGCTATTAACACTCCTGGTAGGGTTGAATGCTGTCGATAGCTGCAGAGATTGGTGTCATGACAGGTATGCATATTTATTCCTGTCGTTATCTGGAGCCTTTGAAACAAAGCTAAGCACTAGAGGGACTTATGCACTCACATTTTTTTTTATTGGGGGTGTACAGTTACTGTAACGCTGAACTTCCATAAGCAAATATTGCATGCTTTGTGCATTTCTTCCAGATCTGTGCAGTAATTCAGTGTGAAACTTTGCCTCTGTGCAGGAGCTTCCTGTAATAAAGACCGGTTACTGCTGCTCTGTCTCCTTGTGCTGGTTGACTGGTCTTGTATTCGCCCCCTCTTATAGTTTTCTGCAGCAGCCTGTAGTGGTTGCGGCCTGCTGGATCCCTCCCACAGCTGTGCTCTCTGCACTGGCTATGTATAGCAGTGACAACATCGCACTACTTTTACAAGGAAATGATTGGTTTGCAAAAGCGTTTTGTGAACACTAAGTGGATGTATATTATTTGTGGCTGTTGAAGATGTTTTTGCTGGAGTTAAAGTGGAGTTTCAGCCATTGTGTTTATTAAAAGTCAGTAGCTACAAAAACTGTAGCTGCTGACTTTTGATAAACACACACTTACCTGTCCCAGGGTCCAGTGATGTGCTCGTCTGCACCGTCACTTCTCTGCTTCTCTCCACAGCATCGGCATCTCAGCTGTGGGCACCAGGCTGTGACAGCTTGCAGCTTCACAGCCAGGTGCCCACTGCACATGCGCAAGTCGCTCTGCACATCCTGATTGGTCTGGCAGCCTTCTGGGACCTGTGAAGGTTCTCAGGAGACTGCGGGAAGAAGTAGGGGGATGAACTTCTGGCTCACTTCACCGCTGCAAACTGAGCCGGAAGTGGCCAAATTTGGCAGTGCAGGGTGGGGGGATGCAAACAAGCGGAGCTTCCACTTTTGTGTGGAACTCCGCTTTAAACTGTAACATAAACCTGCCAGTATAATAAATGACAGAACAGGATGAAACAGCACAATGCCGGCACCTATGAGTGCCTGCACATAGTTTTGGATCTCTTCTTTATTGCCCCAGCTGCTCTAAGCCTAGGAGTTGCTATAAGAGGCAAATTTTGACACCTTATCAAGCATCAAGCTATCAGCCTATGGCACTGCTGAGGTGTTTATGGAAGACCAGGATGCTTCAATAGCGGCCTTCAGCTCTTCTGCATTGTTCGGTCTCATGTCTCTCATCTTTCTCTTGGCAATGCCCCATAGATTCTCTATGAGGTTCAGGTCAGGCGAGTTTGCTGGCCAATCAAGCACAGTAATCCCATGGTCATTGAACCAGGTTTTGGTGCTTTTGGCAGTGTGGGCAGGTGCCAAGTGCTGCTGGAAAATGAAGTCCGCATCCCCATAAAGCTCGTCTGCAGAAAGCATGAAGTAATCCAAAATCTCCTGGTAGACGGCTGCATTGACCCTGGACTTAATGAAGCACAGTGGACCAACGCCAGCAGATGACATGGCTTCCAAATCAACACAGACTGTGGAAACTTCACACTGGACTTCAAACATCTTGCAGTGTGTGCCTCCCCATTCTTCCTCCATACTCTGGGTCCTTGGTTTCCAAATGAGATGCAAAAGTTGCTCTCATCAGAAAAGAGGACTTTGGACCACTGAGCAACAGACCAGGTCTGTTTTTCTTTTGCCCAGGTAAGACGCTTCTGACGTTTTTCCTGACAATCCTATCCAGGCTGCGGTCATCCCTGCTGCTTGTGCACCTTTTTCTTCCACACTTTTCCCTTCCACATAACTTTCTATTAATGTGCTTTGATACAGCACTTTGGGAACATCCAACTTCTTTTGCAATTACCTTTTGAGGCTTTCCCTCCTTATGGATGGTGTCAATGATGGTTTTCTGCACAACTCCCAGTTCAGCAGTCTTTCCCATGATTGTGATTTGTACTGAACCAGACTGAAAGACTATTTAAAGGCTCAGGAACCCTTTGCAGGTGTTATGGCTAATTAGCTGATTAGAGTGGGACACTTTGAGCCGAGAATATTGCACCTTTTTCACAATATTCTAATTTTCTGAGATTGTGGATTTGGGGTCTTCATGAGCTGTAAGCCATAATCATCACAATTATGACAAATCACAGCTTGAACTATCTTGCTTTGCATGTAATGAGTCTATCTCATATATTAGTTTCACCTTTTTAAGTTGCATTTCTGAAATAAATTTAACTTTTGCACGATATTCTAGTTTTTTGAGTTTCACCTGTACTTTTTTCTTTTTCCTCTGTAATAATTCCTTTCCGCCACTAGATGTCAACACTGAGCTCTACGCTGTGATGCAGAGAGTGGTGCTGATGTCCTCAGGTTAGTGCTGCTCTCTGCATCGTTGAGGATGGCCCACCACAGGAGAAAACCTGAAGAGGGCCTTACATGTAACCTGACCACTCTAAAACATCTACAAAAGATAAATATAAAAAAAAGGAAGTGTTTTTTTATTCGCTCAATTGAACCCTCATTTAATTTATTGCAGTCAGGCTGCGTATATTGAAATAAATATGGGGCTTGTTTACAATTTTACATTAAGTGCTGCGGCAGGATTAAAATATCCTGTGGCTGCCAGCACATAGGGAGTCTGACCGTGCCTCTCACACAATTTAGGGGCCCGTTTCCCCAGTAGTTTGCCACAGATTCAATCACCAGTGATTTTTACTTCCTGTAAGAAAAAAAAATGTATTACTGTATATGCTGCCTGGCTGCATTCGAGTATTAATGAGAGTTTGGTTTGGCTTTCAATGCACACATCCACCACCTCCTGCGCTCAGGGGCTCAGATCAAAAGATGTTCCTTGGCTTTCAATGCTCCTAGTGCATGTACGTGAATTTGACCCGGTACTGGCCTTTTGCAAGAGAGGGCAGGACTGAGAGCCAGTCAGGTGTTGTGCATGGTGTTGATAGGAGGAGAGAGCAGAGTTACCAGAAAGATGTTCTCATTCATTTGCTGCTGCTTATTTGATGTCCCAGGCAGGCTGAGAATGGGAAGGAGGTTCCTCTTTATTCCTGCTACAATCTACAGCTGTAACAGAGAAAGTGGCATCATTCACCTGGCAGGGCTGTGAAAATCTCAGTATTGTATAGGTAGGATTCTGTGACAGAAAAAAATGCTCCCTTATATGTATTTCATCTGTGTATTTAGCCGTTTGCCTGGATTTGAGATTTTAAGATTACAGAATCTCTGCATAGATTCCTAGCTGCAGCTTTCTGAGGGAAGCTCTTCCTTTCCTGAGACCACCTAGTGGTTTTAAATGTTGATGAAAGGGAATGGTGACAGGTCCTCGCTCATTTTTCACAAAGATCTGCTTTCTATTATCGACTTAAGGCAGACCACATGCCGCACTGGAAAACAATATCCCAAGAGTAAGCTAATGCTTCCTGCCATCTTCAGAGCAAATATTTTCTCTCTTATCTGTATCTCCGCTGTGGGGATACATATTTGGTTTTTGTAATATAAATCTAGGTCTTCTTAACCACTTGCCTACCAGGCACTTATACCCCCTTATTTACCAGGCCAATTTTCAGCTTTCAGCGCTGCCGCACTTTGACAATTGCGCAGTCATGCAACATTGTACCCATATGAAATTTTGATCATTTTTTTCTCACAAATAGAGCTTTCTTTTGGTGGTATTTAATCGCCACTGGGCGCTTTACTTTTTGCGCTATAAAAAAAAAAATTTGCCAAAAATTTGAAGAAAAAAAAAAAAAGTTTCTTTGTTTCTATTATAAAATTTTTCAAACAGGTAATTTTTCTCCTTCACTGATGTGCGTTGATGAGGCGGCACTGATGGGCACTGATAGGCGGCACTGATGGGCACTGATAGGCGGCACTGATGGGCACTGATAGGCAGCACTAAAGGGCACTGATAGGCAGTACTAATGAGGTGGCACTGATAGACAGCACTAATGAGGTGTAACAGATAGGCGGCACTAATATGCAGCACTGATAGGCGGCACTGATAGGTGACACTGATGATGGGTACTGATAGACGGCACTGACTGGCATCACTGCTGGGCACTGACTGGCACAACCGCTGGGCACTGACTGGTGGCACTGACTGGCAGCACTGGTGGGCAGCACTGGTGGGCGGCACTTCTGGGCACAGGTGTGTGACATTGCAGAGTGGCACAGGTGGGTGCACTCTGGGCACTGGGCTGGGCACAGGTGGGCGGAGCTATTGGGCGGCTGGGCACAGGTGGGCGGAACTTGCGGGTGGCACTGCTGGGCACCAATCATCAGGGCACTGATCATCAGTGCCCTGATGATCGGTGCCGATCCCCGCTCTGACAACTGCCGGTTCTCGGCAGTACTTTCCTCACGATCTGACAGCGTGAGGAAAGTGCAGCCGAGAACCGGCACTTGCATTTCCCTCTGATCAGCGTATCATTGGACACCACTGATCAGGTGGTAAAAGGCCGCTGTGATTGGCCTTTTACCACATCACGTGATCGGCTGTGTCCGTAGGACACAGCGATCACGGAGATCGCCGGGTGCGCGCCCCCTGGGGCGCGCAGGAGAGCGCGTTCTGGGGGGACGTCATATGACGTCCACTCAGAACTGGCCGGCCGCAGTGCAGCCGTCATTCGGCTATCTGTGGTCGGCAACAAGTTAAAGTGGGCCTCCAACGTTCTTTATAGCCTAACTATTTCATCTTTAGATTTTTATAATTTACTTCATCTTTAGTTTTTACAATTGTAGCTTGATGAAGAGCAATGTTATGCCTGAAACTGCGCAGTCGCTCTAATTTGGACATGAAGATATACTTGAAGTAAAGAGAATATTTGCAACTTGGAGATCTCGTTCTCATATAATTTATGTGTGTGTTTTAACATATGTTCCAGAAGGATTGAAAACTTTAAAACTTTTATATTTACTGCAGGTTCTGAAGGGAGCTCCGATTTTGCCGATGACAGTTTCTCATCTGATGGAGAAGTTGGCGAGCCCGATGCCACCAAGAATGAATCAGAGGACAATACTGAGCCTGATGGAGATCCAAACAAGGGCTGGGCTGATTCTATGGCCAAAATTCTTAACAAAAAGGTGCCGGACAAAACCGGCACTATACTGGTGAAGAGCAAAGCCCTGCAGAAAGAGAAGGAACGGGAAAGGCTTGAGAAGTCGGAAAAGAGGAAAGAGGTGAGGTCTGAACTTGGAGGCTGGACTCCAAGCTGGCTCATTTAGCAATGCTTAGTCGTAAAGTAAAATCTTTATCTTTTCATTATAGATGGAACCTAGTGGGCACTATCTTCCTTACCTTTTGAATTTACACATAGTTCAGGAGCTAAAGTAAACCTTTGAAAACTGGGCTATTCCAGCTGAGCATACAAACCTTCAGTAAAATTGCTTGTCAAATGGGTCAGTAGATCCAATTTTCTTGGTAGTTATATGCAGCCACAATATATTCAAGTGTATGTGAGAAAATAACAGAACCTCAGAAATGCATGTAAAGCAGTAGATATTCTGCAGTAACCATTGAATATACAGATTGCAACCTCTACGCACAAAGGTGCAAGTGAGAGCAAAAAGAGTTTAAGTGCCAAACAAGGACAATGAACGAGGGAGCATCACCACTGCTATGTCCAGGACGGGTTACAAATACTGCTCAACTAAAGCATGCCTACTCACTGTTTGCCCCAACCACCCACATCTGTCAGTGCTACCCACCAGACGCTCCAAGATAAATCTGCAATCATGGGTCCCATAGTTTGTAAAACTTGTGAAGAGTGCCCCGTTGCAGCACAACGTGCCTTTCTTTAAGCAAGGTAGCGTGGATCTGCATACGCCAATCCGCATATGTAGGAGGAAGAGGGGAAAGCCATTTTCGGGCCAGAAATACTAATCTAGAATTTGAAATCCAGACCTGAAGTATATAATTCCTCATTCAATAATCCCAATATACACGTCAAAGGATTATGTGGCAAAACAATCTGGAATGTCCTATTAATAGTAGCCATAACACAATGCCAATAGCGCACCAGATTTGGTCATTTCCAGAGCATGTGCAACAGATCCGCAGGTGTTCTCCGCATCTGGGACAATCCGGACTCTCTATGGTGTAATTCATATCATTTGTGGCATTTAATACATCCTATGTATGGCAAAAAGTTGGGACAGTTGCTGTGTTGGTGAGAGAGAAACCTGTTAATACCCGTTTCAACAGAGCATGCCATACCTCCACATCTAAAGCGGCGATAACATTGGCCAATCCTTTCCTGCTAGGGAGTTGTTGATTACGAAAGGAACTATCCAGCAATCATTTATACAAGGAAGAAATGAGACCTTATATGTTCCTTAATGTGATGGGTAACCTTTTGCCTATTTAAAGATTATAGGTTAGAAGAAGGAAAGCGTTAGAAACAGGTTTCTTTTCCCTCTGTGTGCTTCCTACTAGATTTTGTAGAGATGTGACTGAGAGTGAGAGAGAGCGGCTCAAACTGGTGAAGATCCTTTTTGTCAGCTGTGATTATAGCCTCTTTGCATGCAGAAACACATCAGCATGATTTTCCTGAACTGTTTGCTCACTTTGAAATGAGTATTTGCAAGGACTTGCTGCTGTGTGCCATCTTTCTCCCTTCGACCTTTGAAAGTTGTCACCAGAAGAGGTTTTTCCATTGGAATACATCGCATCTACACTGTTGCGGTGAGAACTGTAACATTTTTGGAATTCCCTTCACTTTTTTGTCACAGCGACAACAGGCACTGAGAGATAGTGGTAATAGAACTCCAAGACAAGTAGATTCTCCCTCCTTGTTTGTCAGGACTGTTGTCCCTGGGATAGATTGTGATGATAGACCCAAAGTTGGTGATAACTATAAGAGGGATATACCTAGTTCCAGAGAAATTTCCCATTCCTGCTGTGTTTCTGGGACAGGTAGTAAAGTGAAATCTCCTGAATGGGACACAGCAATAAAAACCTGTCGGGATTCTTAACTATCCCCACTGAATAATAAACATATGGCTATATCAATTTTGCTATTGATATAAATTGACAATAGATATGTAATCAGTATATAAAGCATTTTGTAATGCAATATTCATCCAGAATTCACATTTTAAACTAATAGGCAGCACCTAGCTAAACCAAACGTGTACAAAAACAACGTGCCAAAGGTTTTCTATCAATCAACAGCAAATGTCAAAAGAAACAAATTAAAAATATTTCAATCTAATATCCATATATATTTCATCAATTAGTGTCTTCAGTGAAGGAAGATTTAAAGCGGAACTAAACCCTCCTATCTTTTACAACCAAGTAAGCTGCCATCTTGGCCTCGGTTTGCTCTGCTGTTGCCATGGTGCTGTGTGATCTGCTAGAACACCAGAATTGGATGGCTTGACAGTTCGCTTGAAAGCACAAACATCTGTGACTGTTATCATGCATGACATGCCTTCAATGGAACTGTTTTGGAAAATGGTTAAAGCAATGGTTTAGTTCTGCTTTAAATCTTTAAGGGCTTTATCCAAATTGTGCCACACTACACCATAACAAGGCTCTCCACCTATAGGAACAGCACTCAACAGAGCACTATGACCTCCAAGGCAAACTCTGAACTATGGAGCACCCAAGGAGAAAATTGATCCAAAGAGCAGTCTAATCATTTGTCCAGAAATGACATGTAAAGGTCAGACAATACAAAAGCACTGTGTTGTAGAAATGTATTTTTAATTTTGAAATCTAAAACCATTATTCAAGGATAACTTACATTCTATGAATTGACCAGTGGCAATCATTTCAAGCACATTTTAAATTAAAACTATAAGCAAAACAATTTGTTTATTTTTGATAGGGTAAGCGAGGGTTAGAACACGTCAGTTTATTTTTTGCCATCTGTGTCCCATCAGGGAGATTTGCCTTCACCTCCTCTCCCATAGTACCATAGTTAAAACCGGAAGTGAGTTAATCTCAGCAAATTAAGGAAATTCCTGGGGGGACCCCCAGGTGTCCCCATTGGAAAATATTTCCCTTTATTACTTTTCTGGGGACAATCCAAAATTTGGCATTTCTCTTACTTTCAATGATAATGGTAAACAGGACAGATAGAGAGGGTAAACCCCCCCCCCCCCCCCATGGGGGCAGACAGCAATGTAATCTGACAAGTGTTCTAATCCCTTTCCATTCTATCCAAAACAAAACAAAAAAAAGTTTTGCCTTTTAGTTATACTGTAAACATTTCCCATATGACAACATCAACTGGGTAATCAAGTTTGGTACTGTCCACTTCATATGGACAGTGGGTTGGCACAAGGTAGGTCCTGCCCTGGATTCACAATTCTCTTCTAGGATGCTTGGAAATGATATTTTTGTACACAGGACACAAGAGAATCCTCATCCTCCTGTATTTTGCTCCCTGCTTCCCTACAAAGATGCACATGTCATGGACATTCTGCTGCCAAGAATGCGGCACCCTCAGCAGCGTCATTAGGCATACTGAACTCGGGAATTTAATGTTTGATTTCTTTACTGCAGATATAAAGGCTTACAAATATTCCAGTACTAAGCTGGAATTCCTGATATGGGTGCTGGTCTCATGACACCCCTAAAAACACTAATTGCCCAGTGACCAACACGCATTGGCCAAACTGTGCTTAGGCTTGCCATACAATTTCCATACAATTTCCATATAATATGAGGTCAAACCTGAACACTTTAAATTTGTATACACTCAGGCAGGCCCTTGCACGACATAGTAGAAAATATGTTTTTAAAGGAAATTGAATAAGAAAATTTGTATAATGTATGGCCAGCTTTACTTTATCTGTAGGGCATGGCAATGTGGGCAGACTTCACTTGATCACATGAGTGGTAATCCAAAGCAATGCCGCCAATATTTAATTAGTGGGCCAGCTCCTGATGGCTGGAAAGAGTTAAAGAAAATCAGAGGTATTAGAACTCTTATATCTTCTTGTACTGCTCTTATGGTATGTTGTCTGTCCCCTGACATCTCATGTCCATTGCAGATTGATAAGAAGCGACAGTGGGAGATGATGTGCCGAGTGAAACCAGATGTGGCCAGAGACAGAGAGGTGGAGAGGAATCTGCAGAGAATCGCCACCAGGTACAAGACAAGAATGCTGAAATGTTTTTTTTCTCCAATTTTGCTTTATCTGTTTTTATGAACGTAACATGCACTGTTGTATGGCAACTGCAGTTTTCTGGAGTTTAGACTTAACCTCCACTATCAACTGCCAATCTTTCTGTTGAAGGATGAAACTGAACTAAGGAAGACATATAATGTGAGACAGCTAGGTGTCTATTCTATGTTAATAGTGCATTAAATTGGTTGTAAACCCTTACATGTACCCAGTGAAGGGACTGGCCTCAGGTGATACACAAGAGATGAAACAAATTCACCTGTATAAGTTGTACCTGTTTGTCTGCAGCCCTCTCAGCCTTTCAACGTCCAGAATTTATAAAGCTTGTCTGAGAGTTCAGAAAAAAGGGAGCAGAGAGCTGAGATTCTACACTGCAGATTTCAGTGTGGAGAGCTCTGAGAGCTGATTGGGGGGAAGATGCACACCAACCTCCACACAGCTCACGGGAACAATGTTAAGGCTGTCAATCTGTTGGAGGTCCCTCCATTTTTCACATGGTGTCAGGAAAACTCTTCAGAAGTGATCCACGCTGATAGCAGAGGAACAAGGCAGCAGACATAAATGACACTTGGTGCTTTCAGTTGAGACAAGTACACACTATAGAGGTATATGATTTGTTCATATTCCATATCTGATGTTTACAACCACTTTAACTGCTTCCGCACTGCCCTATAGCAGAAATAGTGCCACAGGGCAGCACAGGTGCGCAAAATCGCGTGTGTGATTTTTGACTTTCCGGCCTCGGTTGTCAATCAACGGGGGTTGTATAAACAAGACAGATCTCTCCCCTGTCACCTCCTGCACACTTTGTACGGCTCTGCATAGCAGAGCCATACAAAGCAGTGTGCTTGCAGTGTAAAGCACTCGCACAGCATGCTGTGAAACAGCACTTAGCTAACCCTTTGATCGCCCTACTTGTTAACCCCTTCCTGCTCAGTGCCATTAGTACAGTCGGTGCTTTTTATTAGCACTGATCACTGTATTGGTGTCACTGAGAATGTCAGTGGCACCAAGTCAGTTCCCCCCCCAGTGTCAGCCCGCCGCAGTCCCGCTATAAGTCGCTGATGGCTGCCATTGCTAGTAAACACAAAAATCCCAGTGTATATATACTGCCATTTATAAACGTTTTGACTTTCAAGGGCAAGTGGTTAAGGCAGTGTTTCTCAACTCCAGTCCTCATGGACCCCCAACAGGTCATGTTTTCAGGATTTCCCTCAGATGAAACAGCTGTGGTAATTACTAAGGCAGTGAAACTGATCAAATCACCTGTGCAAAATAATGGAAATCCTGAAAACATGACCTGTTGGGGGTCCATGAGGACTGGAATTGAGAAAACACTGGGCTAAGGTGATGTTAATACCATCATTTTGTATGGCTTTTGGGGAGAATCAGGACAGTGAGGAGAGCTCACCACTGAGGTCTCTTCTAGTGAAAATGCAGGATGTGTAGCAGAGATTTTATTTTTACATATATATATATATATATATATATATATATATATATATATATATATATATATATATATATATATATATATATATATATATATATATATATGAATGACAGCACAGCAGAAGCCCCATATAAACAAGGGAGGGTTCTATGCTCCGATTTAAGGAAGGGGTTGTTGCATGGACTGAGAGGGAAGGGCGTGGTTGCTGCTTGGATTAATTAGCTTGTAAATTTCAGCTTGAGCTCTTTAAACCTTTCTACAAAGTGGATAAGAATAGAAGTGTCTCTAGCTGTTTGACTGGCATGTTATTGTTAAAAATTTGTAAATTAACTTCTAAGTGTCCTTTTCTGACCTTTTTTAATGTTATCCCTTCCCCCACAGAGGTGTCGTTCAGTTATTTAATGCCGTCAGAACTCATCAGGGTAAAGTAAATGACAAGCTGAATGAAGCTGGAGGCTCTGAAAGAAAGAGAAGTAAACTGATGTCATCTGTGTCAAAGAGAGATTTCATTGATGTTCTGCGAGGGAAAGAAAGTAAAAGTGAACAAAAAGGGAAAAAAGAATTTAAAAAGGTAGGACAGCCATCTTGTGTTTATTGTTAAAAAGCTAGACTCCAGGCAAGGTGCTAGATACACAAATGAAATGCATATGAGGGCACTGCTTTACTGTTCAAAGGATTTCTATTTCTGCCCATCCAGTCCTTAGATTTACACTAGGGATGCACTGAAATTTCGGCCACTGAAACATATCTGCCAGAAACAGCCCTATTGGCATTTTGCCGATTTAAGAAACATTTATCTGATACAGGTGCTGATACAGGGGACTGTGTGTCCTGCAGATGTGAGGGGGAGCGGCGGAGAAAGGCAGGAGAGGAGCAGTGTATACAGTGACTGGCTGTCACTATATGTCAATGCCAGTTTTTAAATGTAATTACCTGCTTGCTTTTTTTTTTCTTCACTATAGCTTACAGAATGAGCTGTCACTTCCCTCCAGCTAAAAGAAACAGAGTTTCCTTTTTAGTTTCTTTCCCGAGCTAAAAAAACTTGTTTTCTATAGCTGCGGGGAAAGTGACAGCTCATAGTGAAGAAAAAAAAAAAAGCCGGCAATTGCATTTAAAAGCCAGCACTGACTTATTGTGACAGCCAGTGAGGGAGCCTCTCTGTATACACTGCTCCTTTCCTGCCCCCTCCTTGCACACACTGCCTCCCTACCCCTACAAATATGGCCTGTCGCTCATATGCTAACATATAGTGGACTATTGGTCCTCTATGTGGTAGCAATAAAATCATAAGTTAAAAAAAAAAAAAAAAAAAAAAAAAAATGGACCCTCTCCACCCCCTACATACGCAGACATTTCGGTTCGGTTTTCAGCCACATGTATTCTGAATTTTCGGTATGTGTTTCGGCACCAGAATTGTCATTTCAGTGCACCACTAATTTACACATCTCTTCCACACACAACAGCCCTGTGTGGCAGGGCAGGAGGCCTGATTTTTTTTTTTTTTTTACCTGCGGCAGTAAAGTAACATTGTACAAGTCATGTCCCTCCCCCAGCCTGTGACTGGACAGTTAAAGGAGAATGAGCTCAACTCTGCTCTCTCCTCCATCCAGCATGTTCTTGATAACACAAGTACACAGTACAACTGATTAGCTGCTGCTTCCTCTTCCAGTCTGAGTTCTGTTGTACAGGGGTCTGAAAACAAGCTGATACCAGTTCAGCTTTTAGATATTAACGCAGGCCATAGACGGTTTGTTTATCGGCCTATTTTTCGTCCAAAAAACGAAACATCGGTTGTTCTGTCGCCACCAATGATTGCGAAAATCAGCTGTTTTTTTCACAAATTTTCCAGCATGACTGATAAAAGAAATGAGGAGGAACCGCGAAAATCGTCCGATGCCATTGCCCCACTAACGTGAAAATCGGCCGATTTATTCTTTCGGACGAAAAATCGGCCGATTAAACGAACAGTCTATGGCCTGCATTACTCTGCTTACATTTTGTTTAACACACTTGGTCATGTATTGATAAATACAGAACTAGGCTGTATTTTTTCTATCTGCCTGCTGGAGATCAGAAGCTGTGCCACAAAAAAAATGCAGGCAAAGGGCAATGGACTAGTCACCAGTATTTTCTTTAGTTTCCCTGCAGCTAATCTTTCACCATTACTGACTCACTGGGGTTTATTTACTAAAGCTGGAGAGTCCAAAATCAGACTCCCTTCTGCATAGAAACCAATCAGCTTCCAAGTTTCATTGCCAAAGCTTCATTGAACAAGCTGAGGTTAGAAGCTGATTGGTTTCTATGCAGAAGGGAGTCTGATTTTGGACTCTCCAGCTTTAGTAAATAAACCCCACTATGTCTGTCTGTGTGACACCACCTAGTCCTGCTACTAATCTCCTGAGACTAGCAGATGGGCAGCAATGCTTTATATCGAACACTGAAGGTATACAGTTATGAGGCTGTAGGCAGAGGAGTGCCTCGGTGCCCCACATACAAGGAAGTGCACTGCTATTTTAGGAGGAATTTCAGATAACAGGTACGCTTTTTAGGGACCTGCACAATTAATACGTGTAAATGTTCAAGTTCACTTTAAGTTCAATTGTAAGGTGCATTAGATAAATGTAAACAGGCAGGAGCATTAAAGCAGTAGTAAATACCGTTTTCTAAATTGTACCTACAGGTATGCTTACAAAATGCTGACTTGTAGGTACAATGACTATTTCCTAAATGTGCGCCATTGAGGATGTTAATGATCTCAGCACCAGGTGATACTACCTGCACATGCACACTGAGCTGTATTGGGGGCTGAGTGTGCTGTCAATTCAGAGCACTGTCCTGCGATAGTGACTCACGTGATGTCATCGCGGGTCGGTGATTCAAACTGCTAAGCACGCGAACCTGGAGGAAGATGGGTGAAGATGGAGGCGCCTGTAGCGGTGATAGCGCTTTGCTGTAGGGCTTCATTTGAAAGGTATGTGGAGCATAATAGAACATTATAGCATTAACCTGCAAGAGTGTTTTTTTTTTTTTTTTTGCATTGACTGTACTACTCAACTGCTGGGTTGGTGGGTTACTAAATTCAGCAAATGACCTTTCAGTAAAATGTTAGCTCACTTTGAAGGCCTCATACACACTATGTATGTATTTTGCAGCCTCTTTTAGGAGTGTAAGGTGGAGTTTTTTTTTTTTTTTTTTTCCCCCTTTTTACTTCTTCCAGATGGCCCTCCATGTTATCCTATATGTCCATGCACACATAGACTTTTAGTAGCATCTACCAGCAAGATCCCCCCCCTCCCCAGGGCCAGTGTGTCCAGGAGCAGCAATGTTTTGGGGAGAAAAAAAAAAAACGCTTGATGCAGCTAAACACCTGTAAACGCCAGGCTTGTTTAGTGCTTGAGCTAATTATCATTCTGGCCAATGAAATTAATTCACGCCCAAGCGTTTGACGCTGGTAAACGAACCTAAACGCTTGTAAAAGTGTTATATACTTTTACAAGCGTCAGGAGTTTTTTCTTTAAAAACACTCTAGGAGAGTTTTTTTTTTTTTTTTTTTTTGTGTCCTAACGTCCTTTGTGCATGAGGCCAAAAGCTTTCATTTCCATACACTTTATCCTCCAGCAAACGTTTAGAAAAGTCTGTTTTGGATTTTCAGCGGTGTAAAATAGGGCGGCACATGCACCGTTCATCATCTGTTCCTGGATCAAGGAGATGCCAAGAAAGTGATCTGCAGTGTGCTGGAGTGACATCTCTCTCCTCCAGCAGCTAAAACCTCTTCTCACAATGGCTGTCATTCACAGCTCTCCCCACTGCTGAATTTGCAGCCCGTCTGTACATTCATCTGAGTTCTTGGCATAGGGTTCTACAAGATATAGCATTACCATGGCGATATTTATATAGGGAAGGCCTTATTGCAGTACTAAGTGTCATACTGCGCTTGCGTGAGAATTTGTTAAATGGTAGATGCAGCTGCCTGGGAAAGCAGATGGGGAACTTAACAAAGGTAGCGCTGGCTAACTTGCCCTCCAGAGGATTTACCCCCTTCCTTACCAGGCCATTTTTTGTGATACGGCGTTGGTTAATGGTATTTGCGCGGTCATGCAACACTGCACCCAAATTTAAATTTATGTACTTTTTTCCCACAAATATATCTTTCTTTTGGTGGTATTTGATCGCCTGTGCATTTTATTTTTTGCGCTATAAAGGAAAAAAAAACCCAACAATTTTGAGAAAAAAACTATATTTTTGACTTTTTTTTGCTACATGTCCAGTAAAAATTTTTTAAATAAGATTACATCATAAATTTAGGCCAAAATGTATTCTGCTACATGTCTTTGCTAAAAAAAAAAAAACCCAAAAATTCCAGTACATGTAAATGAATTGGTTTACATGAACGTTTTAGCATTTCCAAATGGCGGTATATATATACTGGGATTTTTTTTTTATTAATTTTTTTTTTTTTTTTTTTTACTAGTAAAGGCGGTGATCAGCGAATTGTAGTGAGACTATATAGCATTGTAGCGTTCTGACACTGGGGAGCTGATTTGGTGTCACTGACATCCCCAGTGACACCAATACAGTGATCAGTGCTAATAAAAAGCACTGACACTGTACTAATGGCAATGGGCAGGAGGGGTTAACATCTGGGGCGATCAAAGGGTTAACTGTGTGCTGTGTGTGTGCTTTACACTATAAGCACACTTCTTTGTATGGCTCTGTTATGCAGAGCCATACAAAGCAGTGTGCAGGAGCTGACGGGAGAGATCTGTGTTGATTTTACACAGGTCTCTCCCCTGTCGGAGATACTCGGCGATCACCGGGTGCTGGCGAGAAATCACCAGCCAGGACCCGGTGATTGACAGCTGAGGCCGCGAATGGTGGCACAGGTAGGGTGCATGCATGCCTCCTACCTGTACGTGCAAAATCACGTGTTTTATATGTGATTTTGCGCAAAAATACTGTAACAGTATTTGTGCTATAGGGCGACGTGGCAGCAGTTAAAGATAAAGGCTTGGTAATTTGCAGTATTGCAATTTTCAAATAGATCTTGGAAGTAAAATCCATGTTTTACAATGTTATGTAATGGATAATACGTAGTTTTGAAAATATGTGGCTGGGTTTTTTTCTGCTTTAACTTGGTGTAACCTTTCTAATCGGATTGGTTAAGTGACCACCAAATCGCTAAGGGGAAGCTTTGTGATACTTTTGTGGATGTGTGTGCATTACTAGCTAGAGACCTGCAGGTGTCACTGTTGCCTTTTTAAATTGTACTCATCAAATAAATGAACTTCTCTAACCTGCTCCCTTTAAGTCTGTTGAATATACCATGAAAGTGTATTTTTATTTTAAGCTTTCAATGCCATATTTAACCTTTTAAATAGATTTAAATTGTTGAAGCAGACCTTGCACCCCATGTAAGGTCTCCTTTGTTAGTTTACCATGAAAAAAACACTTGTGGGGGGTTAAAAGTTGGACAATGAACTCGCCCTTCTCCCAAACGGCATAATGCAAGGGGTGAGTATCTTTTTGATTGCTCACAAAATTCTGCTGGCCA